TTCCCCTGACCTGCTGGAGGGGATGCAATGTCTGTGTGATGAGATGCAGAGGCTCCGTCCTGAAACCCTTTTGGATAAGAGGGAAAATGTAAAAAATGTATCTTCTAAAGAAGAGAAGATTGGTGTGACAGCTCCTGAATGAATTGGATCCCAGGGTTTACAGTCTATCAGCTCAGCTCTCTGCTTCATATTTGGTGTTTTTCCATCTGGAGGAAAAAGCATTATCATTTAGGATGAACTTTGTCCACTTCATGACAGATAGAATTATTGCACCAGCTACAGATGAAGGGAGACGAGAAGTGCCTTTGGTGCATCATTTTCCATGCTCCTGTTTATTCCAAAATCTTCAATAATGGGCTAGAATCTGACAGAGCAGAAAACCACCAGCTGTTGTGAGCTGCTTTTCCAGTTGCACAGCTGCTTAGAGAAGAGAATCTGTCTGATTAAACGGAAGGGATTTCAGAGAGAGCAGCAAAATTCAAGAACTGAACAGGTTTAAGTAAGCAATGACTCTGCAACATTAATAAGCCCAACATTGTAAGCACAAAACAAGGGGAGGAAATATTGGGCTAAGCCAGTGAGAGCTCTTGGGGAGAAGTGGCAGGAATTCAAAGCACAGAGCTGTAGCTGTGCTTTAAAATGCTTTAGGTAAATAAGGTCAAAAGACTAAGTAGACACTCTTCTTTTGTTATAAACCGTGCTTGGAGCTAAAATATTTGGAAATAAATTTTAAACTAGCCACCAAAAGTATGTTTCTAAGGCAAAGGAAGAAGAATTGCAGAAGTTGTTGCTTGCTAAGTGAAATGAGAACAAAGGCATGAATGGGAAGGGGCAAGGAGGGCAGAGCCAGTGAGAAATTATCAGAGTCTTGCTTTGTCTCCATTAGTGATAGATTGGATCATCTTCTCTAGCCCATTGTCCCTGCTTTTGAGCTTTTAAAGGGAAGCTGGAGATTTTATTTTAACTTTAATTCCGTGGTTTTCCTGTGTGAGCCCCAGAGGAGACAGGCAGAGCTCAGCAGAGCTCTGAGAACCCATGAACATGAAATATTAGCAGCTATTTCATTGTGCTCTGCTGCCTCGGGGCTGTGGGCAGGCTCTGCAAACACAGCTCTGGGATTTTGACCCCAAATCTACTTTGCCAGTGGGCAGAGGGAAATCCAGCAGTAACAATCAGCTGGCAGCCCCCCAGCTTGCCTTGGAAAACAATGAGACAACTCTTTTCTGGTACAGAGCAAGTTTGTTTTGATGTCTCAGAAAATGATTCCTTCTTCATTTGTACACCTGACACAAATCCTGGGAGCAGCCAGGTAACCTGGATACAAATCTGGATACAAATGTCTGAGCAGTTCCCTGAAATCAGACCTGAATTTTCTGGTTTTGTCCTCTGCTCCAGGTGTAAATGTGGGATCCAAACAACCACAGAGTTTTAAAGGAATGCAGAAGGAAGATGTAAGTTCAGATGTAAATATTTCAGCCATCCCTATGCAAATGGAGCCAATTCCTTTATTTCTCCTTGGTGATTCTATCCCAGGGATGCTGCAGTGGGTGACAGCTTTCTGTGACCTGTGGGCACAGTAATTCAGATTAAGGGATGTGGCCAAGATGCAGCTGGCAGGAACAAGACAGAAATAACCATTAACAAATATCTCCAGTGCCTCCCAGGCCTGGCTGGTGTCCTGTGAGCTGCCAGGCTGCCACCGAGGCTTTGCTCAACACACAGCACAGGTGGAACTGAGGAGACTTTTCCCAACTTTAGTTACATTGCTGTGCAACACAACTCCCTGTGCTTTGTGCATCCCTCGAGGGAGGTGTAAGGGCTGAGAGCTGTTGTAGAGAGTTGGGAATTAATTACAAAGGACACAGGGTTGGAGTTCCTCTCAAGTACTTGCTCAGCTGTGTAACCTTGGGGCAAATCCCTCAACTGCTTTGTGCCCAAGTAAACCCAGCTGTAAAACCATCTTGAAAACCAGATGGTGCACAAAGATTTAAAATGCTCAGGAGAATGATGAGGGATGAGAAAAAAGAATTGAAAGAAGGAATTCTACAGTTCACTGCTGTTGGTATTGATTCCAGCAGAGTTAATCTGGACTAAATCAATAGAACTGAGAGGAGAATTTTTCTTGATATCCAAAAATCACCCCACACTCTCAAGTCTCTGTTTTCCCTCTCCCCTCTTGACTTTGTACTTTCTCTCTAGAGGGTTAATTTGAAAGCTTCAGTAGAATACAAGTTTTCCCCTGGCAGCCTGAAGTTTCTAATTCAGGATCAGGTTCTCCATGACTAAACTTTGATCTCGTACAGGATTATTTTTAGGCACTTAATTCTATAGCATTCCTTTCTCTCTGCTTTTTGTGCTGCCCTTCAGCCTTGCCTCTGGGGCACAGTGAGGTGTCCTGGGGCTCAACTGCTGCACCCCAAATAAAAATACTGAGCTTTACTGCCTTCTTAGATGCTTAGTCCTGGCTTAAAACCAGTATTTGTACTCCTGGTCAATGAACAAAGGAAATACTAAAGTTTCTGTAGCAGAATAAATGTTTGCCACATGTTAGTATCTAAGAGAAGACTTAAATGTTTCAATCTTTTTTGGCTTTAGCCAAAATGTAGATATTTCCCCCCCCACAGGAATGTGGGAATACTTATTTGCATGAGGAGTATTTCCTTACATAAGGAATATTCCAAAGCAGGGTGTCTTAGGTTGTGAGAAGGAAAACCAATAGATTTTAATGTAAATAAGGATTATTTCAATATGTGACACATAAGAAACCATTTTGTTCACTACTCAGGGAAGACCTTGCAGGTTTTTATCAATCACTAATGAAACTAAAATATTGACAGGTGTGAATTTTGGTGACATTTCTTCCCAAATTAGAAAGGATTTGAGCTGAAGGAAGTTGCAAACAAATCAATGTCAGCAAAATGTCTTCAGCAAATTTAGCCCTTGTTATGCAGTACTGGAGTGGCAAAATTGTTAATTGCTATTCAAAACTGGTGATCATTTTTCCAACACAAAAATACTTCCATTTCTGTGTGTCTTGCAAACTGTCCTATTTCTTGTTATTGAATCTTTAGACTCAATATTTGAGCCATTGAATCTCTAGATTCAATATTTGAGTTATTGAATTTCACATTCAATATTTGAGCTGTGCTATTATTAATTTAAAATATTGAAATTCCATGCCATAAATACCAGAGTGCCAGGGATGATTAATGACACTGCTCAAACACCAAATTTTTAATTAAGCATAAGCCAAAGTAAAAATTCCCTAATATAATTTGAGTCCCTTTTTGGATGATCCAACTTTTCCCCTCCTAATACCACTTGAAACTGAACTTAAAACCAGGTGCAGAGCATTTGTGGGAATGAAAGACTCTTAAATGAATCAGAACACAAGACATTCTCAGATGAGCAGCTGTGGAAAACAATAAATAAAACAGAAAGTGAGCTGGAGATAAGGCAAATCCAGGTGATAAAATCATGGCTAGAGCTGTCTAATATAGGGAAATGAAAAACACAAAGTACATTTTAAAGCCCTGAGCTGTACAAATACTCATCAGACTCCATTTCCATTTTTGCTGCTCCTAATGAGGAAAGGTTGATTTAGCTCAGTCTTGCCAGATGAAACTGCAGCTGGGAGTGTTTTTCCATATCCATCAAACTCGGGTTTCCCTCCAGTGTCCCTGAGTATAAATCACTGAGCTTGACTTCATTTCATGCTCTTCAATTGCTCATCTGCTCTCTTTGAAGAGGTTGGAGCATCATGAATTTTACATGGTCCAAGCCCACTGCTGCCCATCTCACTGAGCACAGAGTGCTGGGAGCTCCCTGTGCTGTTGTTGCTTCCATAAATCAGTTCATGGGATGCAGCCCCAAATCCTTGGACGTGCTGAGGCACAACCACTGCTGCCACTGGGATTGGTCCTGACAGGCTGGGAGGTTCTGGGAGCTGTTCAGGGAAGCCTGGCTTTAACAACAAACACTCAAACAACAAAATAATGAATTCCCAAAGCCAAAAATTTCAGGCATCATAAAACCTTTTCTTCTTTAAAAAGCCCTGGACCACCTAATGATGTAAATATGTTTCATGTGAAGGTTTTGTTTCTTTAAAAGTGTTTTGAACTTGAAGTCTAACTAGTTTGGGGAAAAGAAAAATTAAGAGTTTTAGGTGACCTCCTTGCTCTTGATCAGTGAAGCCCATTTTTGGCAGGTTTTAAACCATTCTGATCTATTTTTCCCTTTTGCCATGTAAGAAACCTTCAGAAAAATGAGAAATACCATGGAGAAACTACTGGACATTGTGACATTGGTATATACAGAATGCTGCCCCAAATTTTGCCCAAATAATCACTTTCAAAAGCAGTCACTGTGCTTTTAAACAAAAATAATATGAAAAAATAGTGATTCTTAAAAAATCTCCCTTTAAAGAGACACCGTAAGGCTTAAGTTTGCATATGAACAAATCTCTCCCCATTGCTCAGAACTCTTTCTTTCAATTAATACTTTTCACTATTTATGCTCTTCATTTAAATGAATTAATTCATTTATTTTCCACTCTTGCACTGAAGCAGATCTGCTCCATTTTCCTTGCTCAGTACAGCTCCCATCACTCTCCTCATGCCCTGCTGTAGTTCACTGCCTGTGTTTAGGAACACAACCATCCCCAAGAGAAGTCACATCTCTTAAAAGTAGGATTTCATTATTCTCATTAACAAAACCCACTTTTTAACATCAAGTGGGTGCACCCCTTTCCAAAAAGAAATATAAAGATAGAATGAATTTGGGACAATCTCTTTTTTAAACCATAGTTTTGAAATCCTTGCCCCAGAGAGCAAATTCTGCTGAACGAGCAGGGGCTTTTTGAGGAAGATGTGAAGAGCAAAGGAAACAGTCTCTCACAGGACTGAGTCTCTCCCACAGCCTGATGGCTGAACTGATGCCCCTTTCCCCAGCTCGTTGCCCTTTTACCCAGGGCTCCAGAACACGATTCCTGGGCGGGCACATCAAAGCGCGGTGGCAGATTTGCCTTTGGAAGTCAGAGCCTGCTTCAAACGCCTCTTCAAGTCCTGCATGTTGGGCGACTTGGGCCTCACCAGGTGGAGACCTCTCCTCTTCTCCCCGTTGCAGCTGCTGCTGCTCCTGCTGAGCTCCTGGCACAGCTGCTGGAAGGCCTCGTGCACGCCCTCGCAGCTCTCCCGCGCCGACACCTCGCAGTAGGTGCCGCCCAGCTCGGAGGCCAGCTGCAGCCCCTCCTTGGAGGACACCTGCCTGGCCCTCAGCAGGTCGCCCTTGTTGGCCATGAGCAGCAGGGGGATGTTGGCGTTGGGGTGGATCCTGCGGATGTGCTGGTGCAGCGGGCGCAGCAGGCGGAAGCTCTCGTAGTCGGTGATGGAGAACACGAAGACGAAGCCGTCGGCCCAGTAGATGGAGCGGTTTATCTGCTCCTGGCAGCAGATGCTGTCCGTGTCATCCTGCAAAACAGCAACATGGGGTTTGCACATTGGGAATCAGCCCCACACTGAGCTGGACTTGAGCATGGGCCTGTTTTCCCTGAAACCTCTCTGTGTGTTGGCAGCACTGTGCTGGCTTGTCCAGCCTGGAGAAATGTAGGGGGATAGAATCTAAGAAAATAAAGATAGTGTAGAAATAATCTCACCCCTAAGGAGTTGCCCAAGCCATCCCACTCTTCTGCCACAGAGATGGGTTTGCTCAGTAACAGCTGCTCGTAAGTAGCTTGCTTGGGTTTCAGGATAGCAAACTTAAATTCCTTTTGCTTGGTTTTTCTTGCTAGACCATGATGCAAAAGGCACAAGGGCTGATCTTTGCTGTTTACAGCTCAGTTTATTCATTATTATTTCATCTTTCCCTTACGGTACGCAGTGTCTATCACGCCAGTGGTGTCTTTTCTATTGCCTACACTGGGACCAGTAAATGCTTTGGTTGAGTGTTGAGTGGGCCAATGATCAAAGATTAGGAGCAGGCCTGACTTTAACAGGCCTCACCTGTAACCAGTGAGAAGAAGATGCTATAGAAGAGTGGGGTGGTGTTGAGAAGGGACCTGGGGTCACTTGGCCACTTTGTGAAGAAGCAAGAGTCAGTGCTCTGAGAGGCTGCCCATGAGAAACACCAAGAAGGTGTGAAACTTTTGTGATAAGGAGACAACAGTATGGAACCCCTGTGATAAGATAACAACGGAGAAAAGGAGATTCTGGGGTGACCTGGTGGTCACTGTTGAGCCAGAAATGACACAAATTCACTCAAAGGCTGGTTTGCAGGAGAAGAGCGTTTAATACAAAAAATCCTCTCTTTTATAGATAGCCAGTCAAGTAGAATGTGTCAAATCTAACTAACAAAAACATCTTCCTCACAAACAGTCCTTGAGAAGAACAGAAAAACAGAGGAGGAAAACACCAGCTGCAGGTTGTTTATACTAACAAGTTACCATCATTGCTACAACTCCCTAAGAAGACTCACAAGTGCCCTCTGGGAAAACAAAACCCATTTTCTCACTCTCTGACCAGGCTGTTGCATCCACACCTGGTCACTGGAGCCAAGTGTGGGCAGGCTCTGCTCCCAGGGACAGGACAAGAGGAAACACCTCCAGCTGCACCAGGGGAGTTTAGGGTGGACATCAGGGGGAGTTTCTCCATGGAAAGGGTGGTCAGGCATTGGCAGGGGCTGCCCAGGGAGGTTTGGAGTCCCCATCTCTGGAGGTGTCCAAAGAATGACTGGAAGTGGCATTCAGTGCAGGGTGGGGATCAGTCATAGATTGGACTCATTCCTCCTTTTCCAACCTCACTGATTCCATGATTCTCTCATCCCATACTACAGGAAAGCAGTAATGTGGAGTGGAGAGGGGTCAGAGCAAATTGGTTGAAGAGAAAAGCCAAAATACTGCTTTGAAAAGTTAGCTCTGAATTCTCTTCTACCCAAGCAGTCAGAACCTCACTCTCTGATTGTGGAAAAAAACTGTGATAGGCACAGTGAGAGCACTAAAACTCCAGCAGGTTTGTCAGAGCATGACAAGTGAACAGCTGTCCCCCCATGTGACTTTCAGGGCTTTTCCCAATTCTTTACTCAATGTCTCCATGGACAGAGGCTCTCACTAACTCTGTTTTGTGAACCCTGCCAGGTTTTCCTGCCTTGCAGGTCTCCAGATAGTAAGAGGCAAAGTTCTTTTGAAAAAACTAATTGGTTACCAAGAACCAATGACTGGAACTGAAAATCAGCTGAAATCTCATTGGTAATTTGTGGAGCAGTGATGGGTTTATATAATTTTTTTTTTCTGGTTACACATTTTTGAGACTATCACCCCTCCTATTTAGAGCCCCAACAACACCAGCTCTGGGACTACAAAGCTGAGTACAGCACTGTGGGCTTGAAAAGAGATCAGCTCTTGTCAGGATGAAGCTATTTCCAGCTAATCCTCTCCTCTTTGTTACCCTGCTGGGACAGGGAGAGCCCAGCCAGAGAGGGAGATCCCTGCTGCAGCCTGCTTGCTTTGGAAGAGCTGTCACTCCTGTCAATATTACATTTCTGTGTGTTGTAATTTTTTTAATATCCTTTATCCTATCCTTTTTTAATATCTTTTATTTATATTTTATATAACAAGCATATTCTGTGTACAGCTCTTCATGAAGCTGGTAGAAATTGTGTATTTTAAGGGGAGTTCAATTTTTTATTATTGTTGCTAAATTCTATCTAAGAATTTTTCATCAACTTCAGTAAGACTAATAGAAAACACATTCCATTATCTATTAATCTACAGAATGCATATCTGCCATTGACATTCATTCTAACAGAATGTAGTGCTCAGCACTCTCCCCAAACAGATCACTTTTATTCAGACCTAAACATGAATGACAAAGCCTAACTTCAGAGAGCAGAGGTAGCAAAGAATGAGTAAAACTGAGCAGTTTTCTTCTGGTAGATCAGACAGTAAAAGAAGAACCACTGACAAGCTCTTCTGTGAGGGGGAGGAGGAAGCAGAATTTCAGAATTTCTGAAGGGTCAGAGTGTAAATTAGGCTCAAAGCTTTCCCCAGGAGTTCTGCCAGCCAAGTGCCCTCTGAAATATTTCATTATTGCCCTCAGAGACACTGGCTCATCACACCTTGAGGTTCTTTGTCCTTGCCAGCTCCCAGCTCAGTCCTGTGAGCAGTGACTTTGGTTACCAGCTGCCCTTATCCCTCCTCCACAAACCCCTCACTCCCCAAAGCAGAATGATGCACAGGGATGCTCCCAGCAGCCTTGTTGGGAAGGTTAATGAGAGTGAACTCCAGCCAGGCTGGGCAGGCTGTGGGAAGAAGGGCAATTTGCACTGCTGGGGTCTGGGCTGTAGCCAGTCTGGGGATAATTAGCCACTCTCCATGTCCTGGAAGCCTCTTTTCACCAGCAAAACCCTTTCATGGCCAAAAAAAAAAAATAAAAAAGGAACTAATTGCACTGGCAAGCTTTGCAAATGGGTTTGGAGAAGGTGCACATTCAGAGAGCCCTAAGAGCAGAAATAAATTCTCCCTCACTCCAGCTAGGCCCACCCAGCAGTGAGGTGGATGGATGGATGGATGGATAATCCCAAGTGGAATGCTTTATTCAGGAAATCAAAGGTTAATGGGCTACTTTTTCAATGGAAATCCCTGCTCCAGAATGAATTATGAAACACACAGGCTTTTGCAGTGTATAGGCCAAGCAGCAATGAATCACCCAACAAAACCACTCATCTGCTTCTGTTTCTCTCTTACAATTTCACATTTCTGGGGGCTTGAATCCTGAGGGTTTCCACATGATTTCCTCCTGGAACACTGTACTCAGCCTGCAGAGTGCAGGAAACTCTCTTCCTTAAGAATTTTAATTAAAAAATCCAGCCTTTTCTCAGTCTTAACCTGTTCTGTGACAGTCCCCTCAATTATTGCAGATTTATCATTTGAGGCAAACAGACACAGGGGGAGATAAGAGTGTCTGTGAGAGATCTTGGAGCAGCACAGACCTTGGACTGGGACAAAGAAAATGAAACTCCTTCCTAACTAATTTAAAATCATTTCTGACTAAGCAACCTCAGCTGCAGGCTTGACTAAATTTTGTGCAGCTCTGGTGTCACTGAACTGTAGGGCACAGCTTTAATTTAAACAGGAAAATAGCATCTGTGTGATCTGAAAACAGGAGTTAAATTATTCCATGGGACAGAAGAGAGAGGGGATTCCCTTTGTTTAGTGTTTCTCAGGCAATCCCAGTCACCCCCCAGCTCCTCTCTGCAGGGCAAGCTGGCAAGGCCTTTGTGCTGGCAAATCCCACTTGAATATTTGGAGAGCTTCCACTGCAGCTTTTGTTTGCTTCTGAGTGTGCAGAGCAGATGAGGGCACCCTGCACAGCACAGAGTGGGATTGCATCAAAGCTTTCCCCTTCACCCCACTTCCAGTCAGAGAAGCTGGAAATGAAACTTTGGGAACTGGAACTTTGCTGATTCCCTTCTGGGAATTCAGGGAGGAAGAGTCCCGTGGCACAGAGATGCACAGGTGGCTCTGTGCAGGTCAAACAAGGCTGCAGAGCTGTGCAGGGCAGCCTGGTACATGAGGAGAGAGGTGGTGCTCCCATCCCAACACATATTGGCCAAATCTAAGTCTAGTCTGAGGTTAAGGGCACATCTAGAAGTTTAAGCTTGGTGGTGCAATGAGAATACCTGATTTTATCATGAAATCTCTGCTGCTCTGTAGGAATTATTACTCAGGAGACTTCCACCATTCATGTAACCCCAAATTTCACTACATTTCCAGTTGCTTTGACACTGTTTTCATCCTCTTGTTCTGCATCTGAAGCAGATTTTTAAGGAGATACAGCGTAAATCCTGCTTGGAAAAATATTCCCAGAAAGAGGTTCCTGGTAGAAATTTAAATCTAGAATATAATAGAATCATCAAATCATTAAGATTGGAAAAGGTCTTTAATATCACAATAGAATTATAGAATCATTAAGATTGGAAAAGGTCATTAATATCATTGAGTCCAACTGTCTAGAACACTGACAGAAAAAGGAGTGTGATAAAGGCTAACACCTTAAAAAAAAGGAATTAATTACATTTGAAACCAGGGTAAGGAAAGCAGGGCAAAGCAGCACAGCTGGAAATGGCAGCTGCTGTGAAGCCTGGCCCCTTGGAAAGGAAGATTTCTCTAAATCTGAGGGACTTTGGGTGGGGAGGAAGGTCCAAGCTGAGGCAGCTGGGCCTCTGGGCAGGTGGGTTTCCTGCCATGCAGGGACAGAAACCACTTGACAGAAAATAAAACATTCAAGCTGTTGGCAGGAGGGAACCAGATTGTGATGTTACTGCTGTTTAGTAATGTGCTGGAAATAAAATTGTTTTAATTTTGGCTTACTCCTGAAGGAGCCTGATTTAACACCTTCAAGAGCTCATTTTGGTGGAGTTTAAGGTACCTTGATTAGTCTTGGGTTTGAGCCCAGGTATTTTCCTGCTGCTAAGCAGAGTTAATCACAGATGGAAGTGCTGGCAATAAACATAAGACAGAAGTGTGTTGAAGAGCACAGAGCAGTTGTTTTACCTCCAATGAGACAAAGGGAGTGTCCTGCACCTGTAGAGAGATCTGCTCCCCATCTATGGTGAACTTCCTGGAATACAAAGCACCTGGGGGAGAAGGAAGATGTCAGTCAGGGACTGTACCAGGGAACCAAAATCATAAAGGAAAGGTCAAATGGGACTGGTGAAATCCAGACTTTGAGGTTTAGGATGTGGAGCTGCCTGTAGGGCAGTGCCTGGCCTGGAGTGTTTGTGTGGCTGTTTGCTCAGCAGTGGGGCTGTGTTTGCTGTGTGGGGACATGTCCTGGAGGCACAGCCAGCCTGGGGGCTGGGAAGGGTCACTCAGGATTGAGTCACACACTCAAAGTGGGCACAGAAATCCCACTCAGGTTTCCAGTCCATACTGTCAGCTTTAAACAGAATTGCAGTTCACTTTTATAATCACAAATGAAGACATCCAGGTGGGGTTGGCGAAAGGAGTGAGTGTTTCCTGCTGGATTTTTCTGAATGCCTTTAAAAAAGGAAAGTGTTCCAGTTTTGGACACAGAATGAGGGATGGTGTACAAATCCCCCAGGTGCTCTTTGGGGTTTGTGTGATTTAGAGCTTGGTTGAAATCCCCAAAGCCTGGACACTCTAAACCTGACTTTGGTTAATCTGGAGGACACATATTCACAGCCAAGTGCCAGTTCTACCCAGCTAGGCCTGATCTAGCTCTGGTCTAACCACTGCTATCTTGGCCTTGAACTTTATTTTGTTACTGCAGCTGAGGTAAACGACAATGAAAATTTAAGTCTTGATCTTGTGCATTCTCTGTGGTTCAGAGGTGGCTGTCATCATCATTTTCCTTTAGAACTTAACCCAGGTCACGTGGGGCTGTGAGGAAATGCTAATCCACAGCTGCTGTGTACAGCCCTTCTGTCCTGCCCCAGCACAATTGTCACTGCTGCCTCCAGAACAATGTCAGATGTGGAGAAATCTACCCACTGCAGAGCAAGGAATTCACATTAACAGGGAGCCCAGCTAGTGACAGTAATGCCCTCACTTCTGAAATTCAGCTTTGTTTCAAGAAAACAAGTGATTTTATTCCAGTGGAAAAGAGCCTGAGCTCACAGAACATTTTCAGCACAAGGAAATTCAGCACTGAATCCCACATTATCATGTTGTGGTTCAACACTGTGAGGGGACCCAGCCCTGGTGGGATTTGGTTTGTATTTAAAAGCAGCCCTGGTTTAAAGCTGTCAGGGTTGTTTGATGAGAAGGCACTGCACCCCTGCACCAAGACCAGACAGCCCCAAGTTGCCATTCCATGATGCCCTCCCTGCAGAAGAAAGAGCAGGAGCTGCCAGGCACTGGCACTGCCCCTGCTCTGCCCAGTGATGCCTGGCACCAGAACAAGCAGGGCTGAGTGATCCCAAGGGCAGTCACTGCCACCTGTTCCTTATTGCTGGAATATTCACCTCTCCTGCAGCATGGCCATGGGCCTGGGAGCTTAATGGGAAAAGCATGTGGCTCCCAGCACTGCTCTGGCAGCAATCACTGCACAGCTCCCAGCTCCCACTTGATGTACAACCTCCCAGAGAAGAGGTGACAGAAGAAAAGGAGCAAAAGTGCAGCCAAGCATGAGGGTTAACCAGGGTCAGGGAGGGGGAGCTGGAAGGAGGAGCTTTCAGAGTGCATTTCCTCAGATCAAAGGTGTCTTGGGCTGCTCCCTCCTCATCCTGAGCTCAGCAAGCATCTCCAAAGTGAAGCATTTTCTGAATTCTGCCCAATTTCACCCCAAAACTGTGAGGTGGCCAATGTATGGGGTGAGCATAGGGGGTACATGGATCCATCCTACAACCCTGGCCAAATCAGTCAGTGTTTGCCTGGAACAGTCCACATGAACACACCCTCTGGATTAAACAAGGAATGAATGGCTGCTTTGCCTGTCTTGTGGAGAGAAGGTTTCAATTTCAAGGTTTCCCTGGTTATAATAGCCCCTGAAATAAGGGGAATGCACAGAAAAGGTTCTGAACTGCATTTACACTCCTCAGAATTCCTCTGCCTTCCCTGGGGTTGCAGGGGGAGCAGCATTGGGTTTCCATGGTTTAGGTAATGTGTAGGCTGTTCCTTGAGCCTGTGTTTTACTATAGGAATGTCCCCAAGCACACCTTTTACTCTGATCCTTTTCCATCAGCTTGGGGAAAAAAAAAAACAGCTGAAAGGATCATAAATAAAGAGCCTTTGATTTATTGCTGTCATAGCTGGAGGCTATTAACTGAAAATATGCACCTTATGGACATCTAACACCACTTGGCTTCCCTGTAAGGTGCAGCAGTCACAAAGCAGAGAGGATTTCTTCCCCAGTCCCTGCAGTGCTGCTGGGGAGAGCAGAACTCACCGGTGTTGGCTTCGTAGTCCCCAATAAATCTCTTTGTGAGGAAGCGCACGACCAGGGCTGCAAAACAAGGACAGAAAGGGGGGTCCTTAGTGAGAGAGAGCCCTGAGGCATCCTGCACAGCTCCTGTGGCATCCTCCTGCAGCAGGATCTCACTTGGAACCACCTTCATCTCTGCATTGCTCACAGGCTGCTCTGCAAGTGCTGCTCTCAGCTCTCACAGACAAAGATCTGGGGCCAGCCTGGGGTACCCAGCCCAGAGTTTTTCACAGCTTGTGTTGGAAATGAGCCCTGGGATTCAGGGAGGTTGTTTCCCTATGCTTGCAGGTAAAACAATCTGTCCTTTGCTCTGAAATAATTTAGGAGAAGAGTAACAGGCCAGTAGACTGCAGCTAATCCAAATTTAAGCATTTTCTGTCATGCAAGAAGTGAGGCTGATGGATGGAATGGTTCTTTCCAGCCTTAAAACCTCTCACAAAACCCATTAGTGATATCTAATCACACCCAGCAAACAAACCCCATGTGCTCTGCACCCTTGGGTCATGCTGGAGCATCCTGGCTTCTTATTTGCCTTAGCCTGAGCTGCTTTCCTAAACTCTTTCTTTGATAAGAACATTTTCCTTTTTCTGCATAAAACATTTAAATCCCATCATGGCAACAGTAACTTATAGTCCTGTGCTGCTTTGATCTCAGTAGATTCCTAGTAACTTGCAACACCACTTAAGAGTTAAATAAAATGTCTTATTCTGCAAGCAATATTATTTTATAATGGATTTAATTTCAAGCAATAATTTTTCTCACAGTCATACTGGGTCATCCTTTAGCACCCTTAAATGAAACTGCCTGTGCAGCTGTCTTTAAGAAACTATTTAAAAATAATAGGAAGATGTGGCTGCTTCAAAGCCAAAACAAACATTTTGCTGAATCCCGTGGAACCACAGATGTAATAAATCAATCTGCTTTTCATAATTCCTGAAATCATGGACCAGATATTCAACAATGCTCTCTTTACCCTCTTTTCTTCCCCTCTCCTGTGAAGAATAATAAAGGCACATCTTGTATGCTGTGATTTGTCTGCAGAGCATAAAACACTTACAGCAGGAGGATAAAAGCCACCTTTTGGCGTGCAGAAATTTAGCTACAGTTAAATAATTTGCACAAGAGCAGCTAAGAGCATTTGTGAGTACAGAACTCGCTGCTGGCTCATGTTGGCTTCTCACACATCTACAGCAAATCTCAAAAATTCTCCTGTGCCTTTTCTTAAAAAAAAAAAAAATAAAAGAAAGAAAATAAAAGCAAATTGAAATAGTTAAGCTGCGATTCATGTCGCTAGTTTGGGTGTGTGTGACAGCGAAGGAGCAGAGAAGGAAAAGCGGGGCACACACCTGTCCTTACCTGTCTTGCCCACGCCGCTGCCGCCCAGCACCACCAGCTTGATGATTTTGTTGGGCGCGCAGTCCAGCGCGGGGTACTCCGGGATGGGCAGCAGCAGGAAGTTGGTGGAGTACTGAGACATCGTGTCCTCAGGGATGAGGAGCATGCCAGAAGGGATGGCTGCTCGGCTCGGGCTGCGGGAGAAAAGCAGGAGCGCGGCTCCGCGGCGCCCGTCCTCGCCCGGCTCTGCCGGCAGCCAGGAGCGCTCTCATCCCACTGCAGGCGTTCTCCCGAGGAATGCGAGAGCGCCCGGCCTCCCGCCGCCGCTGCCTCTGCTCAGACAGCGACTTCGCAGAGCCGAGGGGAACTTTTTGATCGGCCCCCGTGAAAGCTGACTCCGGCAGCCCGCAGCCAATGGCGAGGGCAGCGGGACATTCCTGCCCCGGCCCCGCGCGGGCCGCGCCTACCGCCCCTCACGGCTCTCCCCTCACAGCGCTCCCCTCACGGCTCTCCCCTCATAGCCCTCCCCTCAGCTCTCCCCTCACAGCGCTCCCCTCACGGCTCTCCCCTCATAGCCCTCCCCTCAGCTCTCCCCTCACAGCGCTCCCCTCACTGCCCTCCCCTCATAGCCCTCCCCTCAGCTCTCCCCTCACAGCGCTCCCCTCACGGCTCTCCCCTCATAGCCCTCCCCTCAGCTCTCCCCTCACAGCCGTCCCCTCACGGCTCTCCCCTCACAGCCCTCTCCTCATAGCTCTCTCCCCTTACAGCGCTCCCCTCACGGCTCTCCCCTCATAGCGCTCCCCTCACGGCTCTCTCCCCTCACAGCGCTCCCCTCACGGCTCTCCCCTCATAGCCCTCTCCTAATAGCTCGCTCCCCTCACGGCTCTCCCCTCATAGCCCTCCCCTCACAGCCGTCCCCTCACGGCTCTCCCCTCACGGCCCTCTCCTCATAGCTCTCTCATAGCTCTCTCCCCTCACAGCCGTCCCTGGGCCTAGCTCCGTGCGCTGCCCCTGGCCGGCTGCTAAAACCCAGATTTTGGGGCTTTGCAGCCGTCACGGGAGCGCTCGGAGCGCGGTGCGGTCACGGCCGTGCTCTGCTCTAATTCGGCTGTGAATAATCCGGTTCTGCCTGTCCGGGTCCTTCGCCCTTTCCGCGGCCCCAGCCCCGTGCTCTGTTGTTCTCCCTGGGCCCTTCATTGTGTGCTGCCCCTCCAGAGCCCCGCAGCCCATGGCATCCCGCTCTTCAGGATAATAAACATTTCCACCCCCCTCAGAGCTTTCGGGCAGCTGTGGGATATTCCAAAATCCCAGTTGACATCCCGTGAATCCCCCGAGATGCATTTGATCTGCTGCTTTGTGAGTCCTGAAGGGCGGCTGGAACGTGGGGCAGCGTTGGGGTGGGACACTGCAGGCTCTGCAAACGCGGGGAAGGGAATTTGGAGCTGCTGACAGACTGGGCGGCTTCCAGAGGGAAGAATGAGGAGAGAATGGCTTCTCTAGGAAAACTGAGTGGGGTTTTAGGGCAGCTGGCAGGGTCTGTGGGATGACAGCCTGGAACTGAACACTGGCTACAATCAGCTCTCAGCTCTCTGGGATAGCGGGGAGGGAAGAACACTGGGGAGGGAGTGACCCAGATAAAGCAGAACTGCAAATAATACAAAACAGATGTAAATTAAACTTAAAAAAATAATGTAGTTGGTGCATTCATCTATGGAAGGCTTCTCAGAGGGGAGCAGAGGCGAGGCTGGGACATGGACTTTGTCAGGCTGTGTGGGAGACGTGGATGGGAATGGAGAGCGAGATAAACTCCCAGAGCTCATGGAGACCTGGGGATGCAGATTCTGTGCAGGCAGGAGATGGGCTTGGCTCACTCTGGAGAGGCTGCAGCTACCAAAAAGCCTCTCTGTGCCCAGCTGCTCTCATGGGGCTCTCATGGGGACCCAGAGCACGAACCTGAGCCCTCCCCAACAGGCTCCAGAGCCAGCCTGGGCTCCCAGGGGATAGGAAATCAGGGCAGGGCTCTGGATCTCTGCTCCTTCCCAAAGTATCCAGCTTCCACAGCAGCATCTTCACAGGATGTGAACTGCCCTGAGGAGAATCCAGCCCTGGGGCACAGCAGTGCAGTGAAATCAGCACAAGAATGCCAAGATTTATGGACATGTCCCTTTTCCAAGGCTCTGTTTCCCCTCTGAAATCTCGTTGTGCAGCAGTGTTAGTGCAGTGATGCTCTACAAGCTCCCAGCATTGCTCCTTTGACCATCCTGGCAGCTGATGAAGAGGAAGAAAGGTCTGGAGGCTGCTGCAGCTCATGCAGCTCATGGAACTGGGAGGAAGTTGCTGGATCCTCTGTCTTTTGGGATATGGCTCCTGTAGGAATGGTTTGCAAATCTTCCAGTGTCAATTTGCTTCCAGATTTTTGCAAAACCCCAAACACTGATAAAAAAAAATCTTTTCCAAGAAATTTATTTACTGGCATGCTTTAATCTCACACAAGTTTTGTAAGAAGAGGCAAAATAAAAGGAAGAATAGGAAAAAAGCTCAAAATCTTGCGGTCAATTAATAGGGCAGCACTTTGAAATGTGCTATTGAGCAGGACAGTGATAAATTTGGGATTAGTTAGCAGCAGTAAGTCACTGTCTGCCTCTCTGAGTGCTGGAACCTTTGTTCCCATTTGCTATTAAAAGCATATGTTAGTGAGTAATATAAAACCATTCATCACAATAGTCCTCCTCCAAAACCAAACAGTCATAGATCTGTCAGCTTCTAGGTGGCCACAAGAGCTCCAGCCCAGGAAAAAAAAGCCAGATAAGTTCAGAAAGACCATGAAGAATATTCTATATGAGCAAAGACATTCCTAGAAGAAAACAGTTCTGCTGGCTTGCTCCAAGAGGGAGGCACGTTCAACTGAAAAAAAAAAAGTTGAAATCATTTTGGGAAACCAAATGTGGTGCTGAGGAACACAAAGGGAGTCAGAGGCACAGGGAGGGTGAGCTTTGGCCTGGATGAATGTGAGGCAGACACAAAGAATGCTCAAAGGATGCTGAGCTCGGATGTGGCACTCAAAAGTCAGGAGTCCCAAGCAGGGGCAAGGAGCAGCTGCTGTGGGAGGAGGGACAGGGAAGCTGCTCCATGTGCTTGCAGGGCTGGATCTGCTGCTGACACGGGAGAGGGGATGTGTGGGGGCAGGAATGAGACAGCAGTGATGCAGGAAATGTCAAACTGCTGCTTTTGGCAGCTCTGAGGGCTTCTGGTTGCTTAAAACAAATGTGAAACAGTTTCAGGCTGCATGTTGGAAGCAGAGCAGTGGAGTTGGAGCTCCTTGGCTGATCTGGTTCAATATGAATTTCTTCTGCACCAGCCCTGGCTTCTTGTGCTTCTCCCCAGATCTCGTTCCACCACATGCAGGAATCTCTGTGCAGAGAGAAGGGCTTTTAGTACAAATAAAAAGATGTGCATTCTTCCAAAGTTTTCAACCTACTCTCAAGCTCCCCTCTCCTCTCAACTTGAAGGATTTAATTCTTAAACGATTAAAGTAAGATACAGAATCAAAGCCAGAGGTTTTCAGATGTGGCCCTTGTCTGATTTTCTAGATTGCCAGAGCAGCCTGTTCAGAGAGTGAAGCCCTGCAGAAGGATTCACACTCTCTGAGATTGTGTAACCCTTGGCATGTGGAATAACAATTGTTTTTAAAGGAGATATTCATTGTTTGTGCACAATGGACTTATATTTAGCTAAAAAACCCCATGTTTTAAATTCTAATTCTCTTGGAAAAACAATAACTTAAATTAGAGGGGGAATGTTTGCAAAATTGAGAACAACTTTGGAAACGCTTGGATGGTTCTGGTGGTTTCACTTTACCACCCCTTGGGTTGCTCATGCAAAGATCTGTGCCTTTGCACGGTGCACAGAGGTTGTTATTTCCACACCAAATTTTTTTACAGATTTATTTACTGCTCTGTGTTGCTTTTGGCTCTGTTTGTTAGAAGATTTTCTATTTATATTGTTGTTGGCCCTCCTACACATTTTCAGAGATGAAGCTTGCTAAAAATAAAAGTATTTGCCATGACCATAGTGCCTGTCACAGGAGGATGGCAGAGCACTTTAAAACTGGCTGTAATTATTCCTAATGCATTGTACAAAAGGAGTAAGAGATGAGCAGAGCCAGAGAGACCTTGCTAAGGTCCCAGCATGTTGGGAAATGTTTCTCCTTCTGCCTAGCTCTGGCAGAAATGATTTTTCCTCTAGAAGTCCATTTGTAACCGTTGCATGTGCCTCTGGTACATCTTTCATAGAATATATTGATGTTAGGGGGACTTGGGAGGAGAAACAGAGCTGGTTTTGGAGCAGAAATGAGAAATGTGGCTGTGAGGAAGTGCCAGGGGCTGTGGCAGGTGCTGAGACAGAACTCATGGCTGGCAGCTCGTGCACACACCCCTGAAGTGACTCCAACCAACAAAAATTGATCCCTGCAGCTCTCTCTGCCCCTCTTTGTGGCAAACTTGGGGCCCAAAGGTCATTTCTGACACTGCATTCAGCAGAAATTGTCTTTGAAGCACCTTTGTTCTCCCAGGAACTGAATACCTCCAAGCTGGGAAAGGCAAAGGAGGAGGAGGTAAGAAAGGATCAAAAATGAGTGTGGTGTGCTCGGGGAACCAGCCTTGGCCTGTGTGCTCAGAATTCCACCTTGCTGAGTTTAGATGAATTAAAAGTGCATCTCCGTGCTCCAGCAGTGACCTCTGAAGACATTCAGGGACAAGACCATGATTTTAGCCCTGTAATTCTACTCAGCACAAAGTTGTTCTGATCCTGAGGCTAAAGGGCAAGGAAATGTCCTCAGATGCTGCTGCAGCAGCTGTGATAAATCATCTTTGACTCTATTTTGGAATGTAAAAGAGATGAACATTTAAATACACACTTCAATCTGGTCAAACATTGCACAGCTTCCACAATTCCTGCATTTCCTGTCCCTAATTTTAAAGCATTGCCATTCATGGCAACCTTGTGAGGAGCACGTGGCCCTTTTCACTTTGGGGATTTTTGGGAAGGATTGGGGGTTTTGTGCTCCTGAGGCCCGTCCCTGGGGAGGCTGGAGCAGATGACGTAGGAAGCCCAACGTGGGTAGGAGAAGATCTCTGCAGGCCAGCAGCTCAAACAGAATGGAAACAT